GGCACCCACTCACTCAGGGATTGTCTTGGAGGACATCTCCCACTTGTAGGCCAGCTGGTACTTCAGGCTCTCCACCTCCTTCTTCCACTGTGGGAGGTCCATGGTGGCAGCCAGGGGCTCACCGGGGCTGAAAATCAGGACCTTGTTGCCATATCCTGTCCTGGACCCCCCTCGAAGACCTGCACCCCCCAAAGAGGGGTTCCCCAGGCAGGGGGAGGGGCAGAGCGAGGAGCTCCCCAGGACGGAGAGGGGGATGCTGTGTGTGACACACAGGTCCTGGTGCTACACCAGCACCCGACCAAGCGATGGTGCCTGGGGCTGGGGACTGCGCCAGCAACGAGCGACAGCCCCCACCGCCCTGCAAAGCGCAGGCTCTGCCCTCGGTGCCGGCTGCTAATTACAGCTCTCTTCGGGATGGTATTTTAGATAACTCCCTTCTCTGGTGCACACTCCAAAGGGATAAACTCATTTAGCAGGTTAATTAGTGTCCTTGGCAGAAACGGTCTCCACACTCTCCCAGCCCACCCAGCAGAGGCGAGGTTGGGAAGCACAATGCAGGCAGAGAGTTGGGGGATGCAGCCCCCCCAGCTCCGCTGGTGCTGCGGCCATGAACTTGCTCGCTGACATTTTTATCAGCCCAATCCCCCCTTTTCCTGCAGTAAAGCTGCCCCCTCCCTGCTCCGTGGTCTCTGCTCAGATCCAGAAAGGTGCCCAAGCTGCCCCCGGGAGCGGCGCTGGAAGAGCCGCGCAGGTTTACCAGCACCTCTGGCATGGGGAGGGTTGGTTTGTTCATAAATACTACACTGAATACTCCCCCCTCTGGCCTGTAATTAGCTTATTAGCAGTGTATTTCCATAACCAGGGGTGATGCACAACCTCAGAACAGGGCTGCCACCAGCTCCCTGGCCCCCAGGTACCCTCTGCTTTGGGGCTAGATGAGGGCATTCTCTTGCCCGACTCCAAGAGCATCAGATGATTTCACTAGTTCCAGATGAAATTCTATTTTCAGTACAGGCACTTACTTGCAAATGTGCTATTTAGTGTTTGGCAGCTTCAGCTGTACACACACTTGCTAAAACAGTAGAGTGCTGTTTGCTAAAACAGAGTATTTGGATGAGAGCTCCAGCTGCTCCTCCTCTCTAAACTCTGCATTTCAATCCTTAATGAGCTCTGTTCACCTCAGTCACACCTGGAGCAAAGCAGAGGAGCTCAGCCTTCGATACACCTTTGGGGTTACACTACTCATGGTCTCAGGGTACCAGGAAGATGTTTTCTACTGTGGCTGATCACGACTGCACCTGTCCAAAGCCAAGAGTGGATCTTCAGAGAAAGTCTTTTTCTCATACGTAAAAGATTGTATCATTACCTATAGGAAATCCTCACTACCAGGGTTGCTATACTTCATTAAAATTCAGAAGTAGATAAATAATGAACAGATATGCTATTTACTTACAGTAAATAAGCAGTTCCTGGCCTTTCCTCGTGATGGTAAATGAGCTCGCAGGAGTAACCAACCCCTTCCCTCACCGGTGCCTGGCCCTGCCCAGGGCAAACGGGCAGCGTTGAAGCCAAGGCCCAGCCCAAGCTCAGCCTGACTTTAGGGCTTGACCTGGGTTTGCTGCTGTCTCTTTACAGCCACAGCGAAGTGACAAAGCATGACAGAACACCCTGTGGTTAGCACGCCCTGGGACTCACAAAAGGGGTAACTCTGCAGAGTTCAGAGCAGAGAGCACCCGGCGAGCGTTACTGGCCGGACGGGAGGTCGAGGCAGGAGAGCTCTGACCCCAGGGCAAGGCAGGGGACACAGACACAGCGCCTATGACAAAGGTCAGGGTTTGCAGCCTCCTTCCCCCCCAGCCACAACAGGAACAGGGAGCCCCTACTACTCGGGTAGGTGAGGTGAGAAAGATCCTCTCGGGAAGATGGGAGAAACCCCGCTCCTGGGAACGGGGATGAACCGCACAGAGCATCTTCAGGAGCACGGACCAGAGCGAGATGGTGCAGGGCAGCCCAGGCAGCAGAACCAGACTCCCGAGTACCAGGGGACCTGGACCTCCGCGTGTCCTGGCTCAGCTTGGACAGCACGAGAGAAACACACAGCAACTGTTTAAAAAAAAAAAACAAACAAACAAAAAGGCAACCAAAAAACCCCCCCCCCCCCCAACCAGAACTGACAACATAACAGAATTTCTACAGTTTTACTTCACCTTGTGTTGATTTAGATACATATAAACTTTTGTAGAAAACTTGAATAATAGCATAGCTTATTTGGGATAACCAGAGCCACTGAAAGCCTTAAATGTGCAAAATACAGTTTATCACATTTTAAGATTTCCCCCCCTCAACAGCCAAACCAACGCACACAGGTAGCACAGCGGGGCAGAGTACAAACCAGGCCAGAAGTATTTCTCCCTCCACAGTTCACAAGTCAACTCTTCAACCTACCGCTATAAAAAGGATTTGAGAAACCCAGAGAGCCAGCAGCACCAGTCCAACAGTCACCTACTGCAGCAAATAAAAACAAAGCCCCACAACCAGAAACCCCTGAAAAATAGATTTTTTTTTTTAAATTTACAAACAAAAAAGCTATTTACTGCATTAGGCCTTCCTGAATCTGGTTTCTTGAAGCAAGTAAGAAAGCTTCAGTCAATGTCCTGCTGCCTCCAGAGTGGTTTATTTTCGATAATTACACACTAAAGAAAAGCGGGTGTGCGAAGCGCGTCGGACCGCACACTGCGCACACCTGCGGAGGGGCACGCTCCCCTGTCTCAGCTTCTGCTCTCTCAGCAGTCGTTCTGCTCGCCCACGGCACCGCTGTGCGACACAACAGCAGTACAGACTCGTGGTGCTCGCTGCTTCTCCACCCGTGCTTCTCTCCCCTCGCTTCCCCCCCCCCAGCAGCACCTCTCCGTAGATCGGCTTTTCAAAAATCTTCAAGCCGCTGCCTCTTTAAACGGCTGCGTAACCGACGGACCTGCGAGAACGGGAATTTCCAGAACGGGTCTGCTGAAACACAGCCACTGCTCACCACCTTAACCTGGGATTTTATTTTTGGATTTGTCCAAAGTCAGTTTTTTAGCTGAATGGTTTTGGAGACGACAACCCAAGCAGAACACAAGGGACTCCAGGAAGAGATTTCTCAGATTAAGACCAATTGGAAAATATTCCTGAAGGTTTTGCCAAATCACAGGTTTTCAAAAATGTTCATGAACTTTGAGACTTCCTGAAGAGCTGTGGTGCCAAGGGGCAGGTGCCTTAATCCCTGGGAAGAGAAAAAAGTTTGTTAGCATACAGCAGTAATTTTATTAATAATATTATAATAAATGACATTGACATATGATATATTTGATACATGATATTTCAAATGATATATTTAAACATCTAACTGATAAGTAATACAGCTGTCATTGGCATGCTTGTGTAAAATTCTAAAATCCAGAGATACTCACTGCATTGTGAAAGAAGTTGCAAAGATGCTTTGCCCAAGGACACCTGAAAAACAGAGAGAGATTCTTACCCCAGTTTCTCACAGGGTCAGACCTGCCCCCAGTCTCAGCCACTCGAGTTTTGCATCACTGGGAGCTTCACAAGAAGGCCAATCCAACAATTCACTGCAACTTCCAAAGGGAGATGATTTCAGCATCGGATGTACAGTAAAATAATTAAGACAAAGACAGATCATAACAGGATTTCATCAGGTTCCGTGGGATCACTGCTAGAGCACAGTGTAAAGCCTCACAAAGCAAAAAAAGACCATTAACGGAACTGCAAATCTGTAAACACAGCTTAGCTCACACACAGCTTACTGAGTGAAACCAAGTATTCTATTTTCTCAAGGGCACACGGCGAAGGCTGGGGAGAAGCAACAGACCAAGAAGGCCACCTTACACATCCATGATTTCCACTTAAGACAGCTCTAAGAAGTGAGTTCTCAGCATTACTCTGCTGCCATCAGCTACGTGTAAATTAAAAGTGCGAGAGCAGGCAATTAATGTGCCTTCCAGGCTACAACCAGAGTCAATTCATTTCAAAACTATTGTGTCAATACACGAAACTCTGTCACTCTAAGGCCTGCAATGCTTTCCTGCATAACACAGGAGAGTGAGGATTACACTTACAAACAGCTAGTGGTTTCAGAAGTGACACAGTGTTTTACTACACTTTGTAATCAAGTATCAATGCTTTCCTGCATAACACAGGAGAGCGAGGATTACACTTACAAACAGCTAGAGGTTTCAGAAGTGACAGAGTGTTTTACTACACTTTGTAATCAAGTATTCTGACTTTCAGACCTCTGTTTTCCCCACCCACTGCAGCTTTGTGCTGCTGCAGAGCAAGTGGCCTCTCTTTAACAGAGAATAAGAATGACATGCACGAACTTCATGCTGTCCTCAGTTTGCATTGCAGTACACATATGTTCCTGAATCTTCAGTTTTTCGTGGGGATCTACTCCCTCGGCACCACGTGAAGCAGTTCTTACGAGCGTAAGAAAGACGTTGACACCTGTACACCCACTGGATTCCTGCAGATGCACAACAATACAAATTTTGAGCTACTTTCAACTATTTTCTCTAAATCAAGTTTTCCGCAGTATGTCACCTCCTTAGAGTCCAGTAGCTACTCTGTTGCGAGTTCTAATTAAGGTCACTTTGGTCGTTGATGATGACAGTGACATTTGAGGAACAGAACTAGACCGCACCACAGGCAGTCCTGATGACCGGTCAGGGTTACCAAGAGCAGACAACGTTTTTCATAACACTGGGCCGTGGGAAGCGCGAAGGCCGTTTGGTTGCAACAGGTATCACAGAATAATTTCAAACATACCCAAAACACAGCGTTCAGTATCTTTACCACTGCTAATAACAGGGAAGAACAAAAAACAGGAATGAACTGCGAGTTAAGACCGCTAATTAAGAGAAAGCTACCACCAGTGCTGCAACACAATGGTTTTCTATTTGGCTACGATGAAGATTCACACTTACATGTGCAGGTTCTCCATAATAATGTTCAGAGCAAAGAGGCCAATGGACTGCATCTTCTTATGCCTGCACGTCAGGAACAGGCAGAGGAATTCACCCACATACTGGGGACCAAGGTTTTGCCACCTAAGCAATATAAAACCAGGAAACAGAACAGAGCTGTTCAACAGAGACAACTTTCCTGTCGATTCCTAGCATCTTGCTTGCACTCCTGGACTTACCCAAAGCACTGGGCTGGCCGGTTTCTAAGAGCTCAGGAGAGCACCTCCGCTAAACCTTACTGCTGCGGGACTGCTCTTACTGTTTCCGTAAACAGACAGACTTCAGGGAGCAAGTGTTTACTCACAGTTTCAGCATTGTTGCTTTCTGACGATTTAGATCCCTCAAAATCAGGTTGACAGTGCCATGGAGAACGTGTTCTTCATAGGAAAGGTGGTCCAGTAACAGCCTCAGAGCCCAAAAGTTATTCTAGGAAGAGACAACATAAGACCAGTGATTTCACCTAATTGCCAATCATTTCTTAAAAAACAGAATAAATCAATGGTCAAAGCTAAAGGGAAACAAACTCAAGTTAAAGGTGTCTAAAAACTTCAAGTTGGTGTCACAGATTTTAATTTTAATTTGCTTTAATCTCTTAGAACAGAAATCAGTATCCAGGACTCACCCCAAAAGCCAGGGCTATCTCTAAGAAGGAAGTCAAGTATGGAAGATCACAGAAAAGCATCTGTTGTACTGCTTGCACTGCGAGAATAAGACAAGCCTCATGGTGTAACTACAGGAAGAGATACCAACAAGAAGACACACATTTAAAAGCCCACTTTCCCACTACTCGTATATCGTATCCCATCAAATCAGCCCGAAGTTACGACGCTCCAGCTGGACAGGCTGGATGTCGGACACGACATCCACAAGCATCTTACAAAGACCACAAGAAAAGGGAGCAGAACAGGTACTTCTGTTTATATAGCATGTTTCACCTGGTGCTCTCAAAGCCCTCACAGAAACACGAAGTCTCACACCATTGCAGAAGTAGAATTAAGAGGAAAAAAAAAATTTCTGGCCCAGTAGGTATATATTTCGAGAGTAAGCTAAATGTAATTTCCTCAAAAGAAGTAAAGAAGAACAAGAGAGCTCCTTATATGCACTGACTGTATTTAACACAGAACATATTTCAAGCCATCTTTAAACATATTCCTTCACACTTGAAACCATCGCTTAAAACAAGTTCAGACTTTCTGGGCTATTCTGAATTTTGAGACAAACACGTTGTCAAGTCTCAACGGAGAGTCTCCAGTTTGAATCAAAGCGCACAAAATCACCTTGTGAAAAGTTAAGACAGAATCAATTATTACCAAACCTCTCGCTTTATAAATGCATAAGTTTGGACAGTGATGAAGTTAGACTTGTCCTAGGTCAAAGACAGTGTCAGATCAGATCAGACCCTAACAGTTTTCTTACCTTCAGGTATCTGCTTTAGGCACTAGACTGTGCTAAGAATAGACTCAGATTCCCCCCCCAAAACCTTCACGCTCCCTCTTAAAAGCTTCTCATAATAATCCAACCGTTTTCAATATCACTGTATCTTTAAGCACAAGCACAGTAAAACAAACAGTAAATTTCCTTATCGCCATGTGCACACTTACATGAGGAGAGAACAGAGCAGGTGGCAAAGGAACATTGACTTTTGCCTTCAGCTCCTCCAAAAGGCCACCACTGGCTGCCAGCACCCCCTGCGACAGAAGCAAGGGGTCACAAGCGAAGGGGAAGAACGCGCAGATACTCTGCAAACAAACGGTGCCCAAGACTGTTCTCTAATGTGCTTCCACTTATTTTTTCAGCATTTTTACAGATGAGGCTGACTGTTCAATGCCATACTCGGGGAAAGCTGAAGCTCGGCAGCACTAACCAAACCATATCACATAACCTTTTCATTTTAACCTACTACACTGAGCAGACAGTTCTTGTGACAAAAACACCCAGATACTGGCTCTTTAGGACTACCTGAACTGCCTTCCTATCCATTTTATTTTCTGATCCCTCTCAACATGAAATGATACAGAATCAGCAGTAGGCATTGAGCTGTGAGCAAAGTAAATCTGTCTACTGTTGCATTTAACACTCCTGAATCACAACATGTTGCAAAGTGTGACATTTGGCACATACCACCAGAGAAATTGAGGAGGCACTGCAAAGTTAACCTCAGTACTGAGCAGGCTTTAGTATTTAAAAGAATGAGCCAATGCCCGCATCAGATGAAGTCTCGTATAAAACCAAGACGAGATTCTCCCGTTTCACAGCAGTGTTTCCGTTACCTTTTGGAACTCCAGCGGTGGCTCTTTCAGCGACAGGGGATGTAGGTGCCCAGTTTTTTCCAGCAAATTGCTGCTACCCAAGATCATGATGAGGGAACTCCAGCATTTAGGCTGAAACACAGAACATCGATTTTACAAAGTCAAACCCGATCGGAGGTGTAAACTATCCAAAGGGAAAAGGGTTCTGACAGCAAATCCTTGCATTAGAGAAGTAACTGGACAAACCAGGTACTACACAGAAACACTCGATGGGCCACAGGAAGAGTTTTAATACAGACTCACATTCCTGTACAGTAACACGTTGCTGTAAAGGAGTTTGAGCGCCTGCTTAATTAGAACACCATCTTTCAAGGGAGGCCCTGCAAGAAGAAAAAAATCCAAAACAGATCTTACATTGCCTGAATAACTACAGAGTGTGAACACAAACAAGACATGAACCTACAGATACGTTTCTACAGAAACCTAACAAGAAGAAACAAATGAGTGCCTACAGCTATTTTACAGTATTTTGCAGGTTCTGAACTGAAAACCAACATCAACTGTAGAACGCTATTCTGGAAAGCTGCAAAGAACTGAATACAATTTAGACTAAGCCATCACAGAACAAAGTCTTCATTGTCTACATCACACCCCAGTGCAATACACACTGTCAGCACCTCATACATCTAAGAATTCTACTGATAGCTGAGCACCTCCAAAACAAATCTTTCATTTCAGAATACGCCTTGACAAGCAGCACGCACCAAGATAAACGGTCACAGTTGTCAGTGGCTAAACTAATGACAGAATGGACAGGGTTTCACGATCTGTGTATTACATCAGGCAGCTTTTCTGCTCAAGGTCAAGCCTGAGACCTACCATAACGCTGTTACACACTGCCATTGGTAATGCCATGATGTAATAGAGAGCTTTGTATTTTCTTTTAAAAAGTTGCCTTCGGCAAAACAACCTCACA